AACATTGGTATGGAGGAAAAGGGGGGCATCTTCAGGGTGCAGTGGTTTGAGGTGGGTGAAGAAATAACCAAAAAGGTGCAGCAGAATGCAACGAATGCGAAAGAGGCGAGATCCCATGCCTGCATACGTAATGCTGTACTGCCATTGTCAAATGTAGGTACCCAGAGAGGGGTAGATTCCCTCTTTTGTCTACCGCGGCACAAAATTCTGATCGCACGCGCCGCATCGATCTTCGGCCGATCATTTGCATCCTCATTGTTCCCACTCGTCCACCACCCAACGAGATTCCATAGGCGCAATATTTCCCTCTGTCCTCCTCTATCTCTCATTCATATTCTCTTCACTGAGAAAAAAAAATAGTCCGTGACAAGCCAAAATCACTCGACGCAAATCCGCACTATCTACTTGCACCCTTATCCCAAATAAAATGAAATTAAATTAATTTCAATTAAGAAGATAACGAGAAAGTATGGAAAGTCGATAGGGAGAAATAATAATTATTGATAGAGTTTTAAGATTGATAATTCGAATGATCGCATCGAAATGACAGAAGTAGGAGTAAAATGTCAACGTGGGAGAGAGCGAAGAAAGCGATGTGCACATACAGAGGGCAAAAGGCGAGAATAAGGGGAGAATGAGGAAGAGTGTGAAAGAAAGGAGAGAGGGTGGTCGTACATATTTTTATGTCATCTATGGCAGCGGCGATGCATTGTTGTCGCGAGACAAAAGCAAATGTGGCGGAAAAATTGTGGAGGAAAGCCTCTGGTGGTTGGGATATATGCGAGAATTTTTAAACCTATTTTTTTCTTACTGATAGAGAGGTAGACTACTCAAACTCTCGATTTCCATTAAATTCTGATTCAGAAAATTTTTTTTTCACCACTGCAGATAAATATATCGGCATAACCCCTGACGATGGTAGAAAAAATTCCAATAAAAATGAAAAATAAAATATTGTAATGAGCTCACGAAGCGCATGGAACTACAATTAAACTGGTGGGAGCGTGGCTGAGTTGTTCCATTGAGAGAATTGGTCGGCGTACTGGGAGCCAACTATCGAGCAGAATTGAGGACCAGTGGGCGAATGAGAAGCAATAGGATGAGAAGAACGAAGCTGAATTGTCGAGAGGGGGGTAGCAATGGAGAAGTACAGGCAAATGGGGGTGGGGGATTTCGTAGATTATCAAGCATCAGTTGTTGGGAAGAATAACCAGCCGCCAACCGTCATTTAACTTTAACGCTCCAACTGCCCCCTTTTCCCTTCACCCCACACCACAACCACCCACCCACCCCCCAACCACCCGAGCATCCCTCGAGGGTTCAACATCGGACCATACTAGCTAATTAAATCTGCCTACGTATTCCTCGTCCTCACTCCCCAACTTTTTTTTTCCCCCTCTCATTCTTTCACTCCGAGGCCCTTCAAGACCACAACTTGTACTTGTACTTGCTGCAAGTACTCGAGGAATTTTTATTTCTCGTTAGTGTCGTCTAATTTCGATATTCCGATATTGGGCCATCATTTGGGACTCATTGGAATAATTTCAAGTCCAGTGAATGGACATGACTTCAATTGAGATTATTCATTTCCACGTAAACGATCCGTAAGTTCATAAAGAGTGCATCACCAGGTTCTCCATTCCGCCCGTGGTGCAGGAGAGTTGAGGAAAGAGACGTGGAGAGGTTGAAAAGAGATGTGCTCTGAGAGTGAGGGCGTACAAACAATGTGAAAACAATGCGTCGACGTAACGATGGAGAGCGGAGAAAAGGATCAAACAATGCACCACAGTTGGGTATAACAATGCATCGAAGAAGGACACCAACGTCGTAACTGTGTTGGACAATGGGCGGCTGGTGGTTAGGATGGGTTTTGCGAAAGGAAGAGGAAAACGCGACCACTGAGAATGGGTTTGATACCTTTTCCACTGAATATGGACCAGAAGAAAACATTTTAATTCAAATAGAAAAAAAAAATAGCCACTTGTCATCCAAATCTGTTAAATAAAATTTATTAAAAGAAACGAAATATAGAAATATAGAATAAAAACCAAAGAATGGAGAAAGACAGTGAAAGAAATTAAAAAATAATACAGAATAAAGAAAAAAGAATGATGCTGTCTACGATGAGCTTTATGATTGGAAAAATAGAAAAGAGGTAGAATGGTGGGTTGACAATGCGTCCGAGAAAGATAGGGAATGTCAAGTGGACATTGTTGACGGTGACAATGCCGTTGGAAATTGCCGAGTGAAGAGAGAGGAGTACAGAGAGGAAGATAGAGGGAACAAAGAGGTCTTATGATGACGCTGCTGTGGCTGAAGTTGGAAGCCCCCAAGTTGTGGACATTTACCCACCAGACGGGTCATCCCCAGGAGTGATCCCCTGAATATTCCCATCGATATGAGCGAATATCGGTCACCTAATCCGTTAGTATCGAAACGAAGGATCGCAGAGTGGATTCCTTTCAATAGCTCAGATCATCTGTATCTCGGATAAGTTTGATATACCAGGGTGGAGAGGTCTGGTGGTCATCGTGAACGAGGATTACGTACAACTATCCAAGGAGATCCTTCAAAGTGCTTCTGCCGATCCATATGTGTCCTGTTCTCCGCTGCACTCATCCAGTTCAGTCACTATAGCTTCTGGTTTAGGATTGGTACTTTTACCAACGAACGACCGGGGCTTTCATTCAGAAGAGCTTCTGTATGTATGCAGATAATCGGTACAAAGCCTCGGGCAGTACAAAGAGGAGCTCATACAAAGCTCGTGAACCTCGATTATTACGTTATCGTTTACAAATCTCTCAATTGTTATTCATTTTATTAATGTATCACATTTGTTGTGTCGCAGTGACAAATTCCTGTGGAGTTGGTGATTGACGAAGCGATTCAGTTCGAGTGGAAAAAAGAGAATTTTATTTTCTCAGTGTATTGTCTGGAGAATATCTGTGGAAAATAGAGTACTAATGGGTAAGGATCGAAAATTCTCTCTTTAGTAGATTTTCCTGGAACATCTTACTCTTGATAAAAGTCACCGGAAGTCTATTAATCACCCGAGCCCTGGGTACATTGTGGCGTTCAAAGAGCACCCCGGAGTGGGGTGGAGAGGAGTATTGAAGACTCCAATATTATCAATACCCCATGTACTACCACTCTCAAAACGTTAACATTTCATATACACGCTAAAAGAGTTTATCAATAGCGCACACGAAGACCCACACCAGGGTATACAAACTATCCTGTTCACCCTCCTGAGTTGGTGTCATCAAAACCACACCTATATGATGCTCTGGATGTCCTCATGGCCTTTTCGAAAAGTTTACGCTTTCATGTGAATGAAAATCCAGTCCACACTTCAACCAGGGGAGATGTTACAACCCTTGGGTAGGTCTTTAGTGAGGGGAATAAAAGGCTCATTGCCTAGTGCTTCTGAGTGGTTCATGACAGGGGGAACTTGATTAAGACGTAATTTACACGTTGGCGGAACGTGAATTTTGCAATCAATTATGTAATTATTCTCATGGATGAGTCAGTGAAAAATATTGGGGGAATTTTCGTCCCTCAAAATGGAATTCGCAGGGTTCTCATCCTACATGAACGCCTTCATTTACTCGGAGTGAAAAGGAATCCGAGAAAGAATCTAGAAATGGAGCCGAAAGAGAGTGGGAGAAAGAATGGTACGAGTGGTCTGTTTGCAGCGAAAGGAAAAGGATTGTTCTCCAACCCTTTGGTGTCTTCCTAACAATTTCTCTCGCCTCGCCGCTATGTTTTCCCGTCCACCTCTCAGTCGTGTCCGCCTGTTAGAAAAAAAAAAAATATATGGGAGTAAAAGGGAGGTGAAACAATGACGGGGCCTTTGAAACAAGAAGGCACATGGAGATGTCGCAAAAGAGCCTCAGAGCGATTGAAATCCGACATCAGTCTGTGTTACTCTTTTTCACTGGTCCACCCGAGATCCACATTTTTCTCCTTTCCATCTCTCCATTTTTCTCTATATGCCCTCAATAAACAAATGCGGCACAAGACAAAACGCGTTTTGTTCATCACCAAAGAATTTTGTAATACATTTTTATCATTTTCTTCCTTATGATCGATTAAAAGAAATCTCATTAATTTTCATTTCAGAATTCGGAGAGAACGATTCAATCAAAATTGCCGGAAAAATTACTGTTAATTTATTATTTTCTTAAATAATTAAAAATTTATGTGACCATTTCTGGGAAACTGGAATTTTACGTAATTTCTCGGTAATGAAAAATTGCTATTGATAAAACAGATGACAGATAAGTTGAAAGGAGAGAGAGATAAAGTTTAATTGAATAATTGGAAGAAGTCAAGTGCAGGGAGCAGCAAAAGGGAATCGAGGAGTCGGAAGCAGTGACCACCCGGTGACCGGATACAAACATTAGGGGTTAGCGGGTGGTCCACCTTCCTCTCCCTCTTGAAATCACCCACACACTTCTGGTCAAGTTGTTCGGACAACGAGTGGTTCAGTCAGACAAAAGGATCTCTAATTGTCTCCATCAGCGTTCAAGAATAATGACCTGCATTACAAATACTGCCGCTGACAATTTCATTTATAATTTGCATAATTTCCGTTCAAGAGGATAATAAATTACTCTTTTATATAAACTTGCCGCGATCATTTATCATCGGCTATTGTCATTTTTGAGTGATGAGTGCTTTTTATCTTACCTTCGGGGGTTGAATTTTTTTTTTAAGGACGTATCCAATGCCACTTATCACTCAATTGCACACTTGAACTTGCGGAAATAATTTTTGGATTTTTTTAGGGGGCGGGAAAGCATTGGTGCACGTTAGAAGCTGTCGCAATACTGAGACTCACCTCTTGGGACACCGCAACACATTGCGCGCTTCTCCCCTCCATTTTCCGCAATCCCCACGCGAATATTTTCAATTTCTGTTTGACAGATTAATATCGATGTTGATCGGCAATTAATATTATTTTCTTCTAAATATAAATAATTCCAAACAACAGGCTATTTTCAAGATTACTCCATATATTTCTCCTCATCAAGTTTTACATCGAATCTTATACACTTTATCTTAAATCTAACTACATCTGAACTATGATGTGAAAATTACTCGCACAACTACTGTTCATCAACTGAACAATGCATAGAGGAGATTAATGATAAAAAATCGAAAGGCCGTTGGATTGATGTCCAAAATAAACGAAAGATTATTCCATCAATTCGTTGAAAAGCCAAAAAATGATGTCAAGTCCGATAAATAAATGTACAATTGTAATCTTGAATTTTCTTCATACAAAAACGATGATTGCGAGGGTAATCCACAATTTCATTCAGAAAAAAAACTCATAAGCATTCAAACTCAAATCTCAATAATAATCAAAATGACTCTGCAACAAAAAAAATCTACCAAACTTTGGCGGCAGCTTCTCGTCTAACCAATACATCCTTGCTTCGCTGTTTCATACGCTCGATGAATGTATCTTTTCCATCCAGTCCCCGTCCTCTCGCTTGGCCTTCAGCTCTCTACCAACATACCGTTTTCACTGATTAAACTCATTCCACCGTTCCTTCGCCACCACCAAATAATAGACCCCGCAATCATCGTCATTTTTAATAAACAAATTATTGATGTTTGAACAAAATATTTGCCGGTTGATTGAAGTGTCTAACCCACCTTGTTGTCAGCCCCTTGGCTCTCATTATTCCCCCATCTCTCGTAGTCATCATCATCCCTTTCCTCTCCCTCACTCAATGGTCCATCATGCCTCTTGGGTGGTGGAGCTGACTGATTCTCAGCATCACCATTGCCCTCCAGCATTTTATTAATTTTTTCCTTTGCCTCATCGACTTTTCTCATTGGATCGGGTGAATAACTCCGATCACTGTACCTATCTCTGGAGCTTCTACGATCTCTGAAGTCCCTCCTATCCCGAAAATCACGGAATCCAGGTTTATTATTGTGGAAAAATCTACCACTTCCACGATTACCCCTATTACCCCTATTATTCTGGTTCCTATTATTATTAAAATTTCCACGATTGCGATTGTTACCGAAACGATTGTTGTGCTGGTTGTTGTTGTAAAAACGATTACGATTTTGAAAATTATTTGTACCACCACCACGATGATTTTGATTACTGAAACCTTGAAAACGTGGTTTATAATAAGTTCCACGATTGTTGTAAGGTCTGAATTGACGTTTTCTGTAATATCCCCTGTCGTTGGATCTGCTGCGACTCCTGCTCCTGGAGTACGAACGAGATCTAGATCTGGATCGTGATCTACTGTACGTTCCAGAAGGTGAGCGACTGTATTTTCTCTCGTAACTGCCAGATCTTCGATTTGAGTAAGAACGTGATCGTGATCTTCGTGGTGAGTGAGATCTGGAGCGACTGGAGCTAGATCTCGATCTCGATCGACTTCTTGATCGTCTCGAAGGTCTGTCCCGGCTCTTGCGAACGGGTCCAGGGCCCTTTGAGTTACGTCTTCTAGATCTGCTTGTGTCATCGTCACTATCTGAATCTGTTCGAGGCCCTTTGTGAGCTTTTGCTGAGGGTGGACGTGGTCCTGGGGGTTCTGGGGGATGTGCCTGGCCAATTGGTTGGAATTTATTTCCCAAATGCGAGAATTTTGGTTGTGAAGGTGGTTGCGGTGGGGCTGCAGCCTCTTTGTACGACTGGAATTTATTTTGTGGCTGAGGCGTTGGGTATTTTACTGGTGCTTGTTTTTGAAGATCCTTTGTGGTTGATTGCGCTGGTGGAGGGGCTGGCACTGACATTGGTTGGGACGATCGTTTCTCCTGGACCTCTCGATGTATCTGTTTACGCACGTTGAAACCCTTCTCCAGGGAGTTACGGGATTCCTTCTCCATGTCGTTACTGTCTGTTGATTCGCCTCGTTTCTTGCTCTCTGGGTGAAGATCCTGCCATTTACCTACTATATGGGCCTCTTTCTGACGAGCTGCTTGGGCTGCTTTCCACTTGGCGTTCAAGGCTGCTGTGTCCAGGGCTGGCAGCTTTGTCTCGGTGTGCACGAGCTGGGAATCGTGCTCGAAGAGATCGTTCACTGGCTTGCGAACCTCTGCGAATTAACAATGGGGAATAAACAATAATGAGGATTCCTCAAATTTTTTTTGTGGATGTACGATCATCTTTGAATGAAAATTAATTTTAAAATACATGAATTTTAGCAGTGGAATTTCATTTGTAATTGTGATGTACTCTCCATACAACGAATAGTTACTCTCGCTGTTTCTCATTCCGATCAAGATAAAGAGATAATAGTTGCACTCGATCCAAGAATGTTGCATTCTCGCTCAATCCTCCTTTTCAATTGGAAAATCTCGGGTATTGAGTGATGTGGAAAAGTGAGTTAATGTGTGAATAAATACGAATTGAGACCCTAAAACGAATGAAAAGCTTAAATTTACAATGAAAAATGGGAATAATCCAAGTGCTTAAAATTTATCTAATGAAAAAACAATTTGTTATTATCAATTACCCAAGAACATCCTCCACAATAATTATTGTTTCGACAATTAAACAATAAGACGTGGTGCAGAATGGCCAGTTGATTATTTTAAAATAGTTTTGAAAATAAAAAATTGCTGTCATCAAATATTTCACTATCAATTTCCTGTAATTATTCGATAATTGGAAAGAGAACTGAAAATTTGAGCGGAACATTAGGATTGACGATCGTATATCCTTGAATGTCAATAAATAAAATGAGATTTCACCTTTGCGTTGTTGTGTGACGGGTGGCCTTGTATCACGTTCATGATAAGCTTTTGTTGCATCATCTCTCTCTCTTCGTAATTCATCCTCTCTGCGAGAAGTCTCAGCGAGTTTCTCCGAATTACTAAGGGGGGAAGGCATGTCATTATACAGATCTACATACCTAAATTAAAAAAAGTTTTTAAAAAAAAAGAAAAGAAAGAGACGAGTAATTATGAATGATCGAGAAAAAAATCCACATACTGGGACATACACAATTAATTTCCACTGCATTGTATGATCATGCAAGAAGATGAACACAAAACCAGACGAGAACACATTGAGTATTACTTTTCGATATTATTAAAGATATCTAACCTCTCGAATCGTTTCAATACCGCAGTCTCTTTTTCGACTTTTGCGTAATATGCACTCAATTTAGACTCCAACTGCTCAAGATCGGGTAATGAAGATTTTCTGAGGGCCTCCAAGTCACGCTCAAGCTTGTCCTTATTCTTACGTTTCTTCCTCTCTTCTTTCTTTTTCTTCTTCCGTGATTTTTTCTCCTCCTTCTCCTTTTCCTTACCCTTCTTATCCTTTTTCTTTTTCTTTTTCATTTTTTCAATTTCACCGTGTTTCTTCTCCTTCTCACGTTCACGCTTCCAACGTGCAGTCTCTTCTAAAAATTTACGAACCTGAAAGATAATAAATCAACAACTGAGTAATTCTCCTAGCAATTTATGAAATGGAGTATTTTTTTTTATTAAAAACCAAAAAATACCTTGTCTTCGTAATCAGAGTCATCCTTAGTCTGCTCGAGAAATTTCCTCACTTGAACTTCATAATCATCAATTTTTTCACGTGAATTACCACCATAATTTTGTGAAGCAAGTGCATCATGAGAGCTAGTTGACGAAGTAGCCGGTGGATTATTGTACTGAGCCATACGTTTACTCAATGGTGACAGCGAGCCCCGGTGATCCTTCTTGTGTTTTCGTTTACGACTAGGCGATTTTGAATTAGACCTACCCGAGGTGCCAGACGATGATGAGCTGCTAGATTCCGAGCTAGACGAGCTGGAAGATCCACTCGATGATGAACTAGAACTAGAGGTCCACTGTCTCTGCCTCTTCTTTGACCTCGATTTTCTCTCCTTCTTTCGTTTTTTCTTGTCCTTCTTTCCATCACCATCAACTTCACCATCAAACGTTTTAAAGTTATCTATGGGATTTATTGATGGAGGGGGTGGAGCATTACCGATTGTTTTAGTTTTGATGTATTCAATTGAGTTCCTAGCCTCCTCGTGATATGGAGCTATTGCCAGACAATTTTCATAAGCCTTTTGGGCCTCCTCGTACTTTTTCTCATCCTCGTAACTTCGACCCAGTGCCACCAGTGTCTCAGCCATGTATTTGCGGGCATTAGCGTGGGTTTGATTAAGCTTCAGTGCTGTTTCGAAATCATCAATTGCTTTATTGAAGCTTCCACTGTTGGCGTAAAGGGCACCTCGTGCCACCAAACCCTCCACATTTTTCGGGTCCACTGTCAAGGCTTTATTCAGACACTGGAATGCCTCTGTGTGACGACCTGCTTTGAAATGATCTATTCCATCAGCTACACTCTTGAATGCCCATTTACTCGCTTGAGTTTGACGCAGCTCTGTGGCGTATTCATTCGGTGGAAATCTTTCTCTATAATTCGAAGAGAAGAAACAATTAATCTTCGGGAATTTACGCAGACTCTGAACAATAATTTCAATAGGAATTCATTTTAGTCGAAATCAAAAAGTGATTTTCGAAAAACCAAATCGTTCAAGTGATAATATTTACCTCAGACCAACCATATTAGAGAAATGCTCATGACCAAGACTCAACATATCAGAGAGATACTTAATGTTGTTGGGATTGTTGAAGCCGGTACTACTCTCCAAAATAGTTTCATAACTTTGCCCCTTGTTGTCCATTGCTTTCCTAAATTGACAAAATGAGTAATTACTCTTAGCTCGGTGGTTCCAAGAGCAATTAGAAAATACGGCATTTAATTATCAAATAAATCATCAGAAGGTAAATTCTCCCTTCATATGAATTATTCAATGTTAAATTGATAAATTTGATAAAACCTCAGTATAAACTCGTCTCTCACCTTTCCCAAACTCTTTAGGGACGTTTTTTATAATACCATTATGAGTATCATTAGATACTTATTCTCTAACTCAACACAAAAAGCACGTACAATTTCTATCGTTGATTATATTTTGTTGGAAAATTTGAGAGGTTTAATGCATTAATGAATACTTTGTTTTGGTGCAACAAAATAAATTGCTTGAGTACAGTATTTATCCACAAGTTGACCAAAAATAATTGCATACATTTAGTGGGCCTCCCTGTGCTACTCATAACGCATTTAACTTTATTAAAGATTTCATTCTTTTAATGCTGGAAGTTTAAACGAGGCATTAATAATAACGACCAAGTGGTGTTGTTGATGAATTATTTATAATAATAGGTGTTGAAACGCTTAACTGTTTGGTCTCTTGTAATTGTGAGTGAATAGATTGATAATTTCATAATTTATTCAATAATTTATCTTGGTATCAGCTCATTCAATCGAGAGACCAAACAATTGTGCAACATTTTGATACCTACCGTCATTGCAATTCATTGAGTGCCAAATATTCATGTGGCACATCATCGTACTGGAAACTCAATCTCAAACGTACATGGATTTTTTTTATGAATTTAGATTCTACAGAGTACTGGATTTTTGGATATTCCACCTGGTGCTTTTGACAGTTATATTGATGGTAAACGTAGATAAACACAACGTGTACGTGCATGTGTGCGAAACACAGCCGTGGCTCAGCCACAGGTTCAAAGGTACGAATCAGATTTTTTATTGACTTTTTTTAAAAGCAAATTCGTCATCGTTATTTTTTACTCATTTATGTTATACCGATAATCTGGCACCTGGATTCATAAAAATTTATCAGATGTCATTCAAAAGTCATTGATTGAATGATCGATTAGTATTCAAATGATCGTGTAGATTTAGATCTACCATTTGTCGATGTGTATAATATGGAATTAATTCATTTTCATACCTGCCTTTTTATGAAAGAAAGTGTAAAAATTTTTCGAAACTTTTCTATGAATATATTTTTTTTATGATAGGTAGATCAACCAATGCACACAAATTGTAATATTTGTGGAGAAATAGATAAAAAGTGCTTGCGATATTTTTATCGTTTTTCATGGGACTTACTTGTAGGCCTCTGGCAGGTCGTCAGAGTGAATTAAACCCATGGATGGGTGGAATGTCTGACCCTCACGTGGGGATACATTCATAACAGCCACCACACGTTCAGCTTCAACGTTTACTTCACTCACAACGACGCAGACGAGATCATTTGCCATGTAGCCTCTTGTCACACCTTTCTTGTCCACTGCTGGGACTGTCGCTGTATTCAATATTAGAGCCTGAACGACAGAAAATTCGACAATATGAAAATACTCTCACGATTTTCATTTATAGCTCAATTCATTTATCGATTAGATATTTACCTTCACTCCCAAATCTGTTACGACTCTCGGACAATCACTGCAATTGCAGAGAATCTTCAATAGTAGCCCGGCTGCACTTTTACCCATCACTTGGGCATAAATAATATCACCAATAATCAAACTCTGGAAATGGAAAATCATTTTGGAGTTGTAATTGCATGAAAAAAAAATTCTAGGAATGCAAAATTTCATTAAAATTTTCTCATTGACTCGCACCTCTAAAAAGTTTCTTATCCGCTGTGTTTTCTCCATGGTAACAAACGAGTCGAGTCCTGGCATTGTGGCATAAAACTCTGAAGCAATAAAAACTATCATGATAACATTCGATCGATAACAATTACGAGTAATAGACTACATACACCTGAACGAGAACAACCCGAGAAGAAAATTGAAATACTCACCTTCATCACCGATTTCTTGTTTCACTGACTCATTAGATTTCGATAAATTGGACTTGTCATACAGGGTTTCAGCTTTCTTCACAATAAATTGCTGGAGTTTAAGTCTTTTCCCTCTGTCTCCAAAACTGAAGAATAGATAAAAATTTCGTGAAAACACCTGTCAGCTATTGAAATAGATAAAAACCGTTCGCCTGAATAAACAAACGACCAAAATACCTGAGTGTTTTCTGGCGCTGCTGATAAATATCGAAGTTTGGATCTTTGAGACTGAGCATAGCAAGCTCAGTCTCACTTCTCTCATTATCCCAGACTTTCTGCAGTTGTTGGCCATGATAATTCAATGCCTGCGCCACCAGACGCGGCTCCATTGAATCCATAATCCCAGATTAAAATCTGCAATACTACACAAAACCGAAAAGAAAACTAATGTTTTTTGCACTCGAGCTCGCCCGTTGTCTTTCCCCTTGCATGGAAAATTCAACTGATAAAAAATTGGTGAAATAAAATGGACGTCAGCCAGTGTCCATGAGCCAGTCGATGTTATCGTGGTTTTTTTTTTAAACTCAATACTCGATTTACCAATGAAGAAAAGTAATAAAAACCCCAACTGGAGGTAATCAAGGTTAGAAGCCGGTAAACTCCGGGTATTCCTTCAATTATCTATCGTCCAGCCTTCACGTTTTTAACAAATTTTTTCGTATTTATTGTTCAGTAATAAATAAATGAATCCATTATTCGATGAAGCTCCCTCGAGGAGTGGTCATCAATACCACATATGTCAAACACCTCTGGCGTTGCATTTTATTGATTAAACAAATTAATGGAATGACTCGGTCAGGAGACAACGATCGAAGATAACATAAAATGTGTGTCGCTTATGACATGCTATAGGAGCGATGGTATGCCTCACAATGGCCACCGGAAGAGAATTATATCCACATTTTTGGAGCACTTTTCAATCCGTCTAAAGTATTTCCTGCGAAATCAATCACTAGTCAGAGTACTCACCTCGGCTATTATTTTTTCCGTCTTCAATTATTTGATTGGACTTTTTTATTGTTCAATTTGTACTTCTTTATACGCGATTGAGGTGATGAAACCTCGAGGCGCGTTGATGGTTGAGAACTTCAGGAGGAACTGGAGTTTACCATTGCGCATAAATTTGCGCATTTGTTTATATCACACGCATGCGCACCGAGGAGAGAGTAGTGGAGGAGCCAAAGAGGATACACTAGAGGCTCAGATCTGGGGGTTTGAGTGACCCCAACTGACAAGTAGTTGCACCCCATATTCCAGATGCCACTAAGGTGGAATGGGAGATTTATAGCTGAACAGTGCGGTGAGGGGGGGTGCTTGGGATATAATATATATTGGGATTATATATTCCCTAAATATTGGGATCCAATATTGGGATCCAATATATAGGGAAGGGTATATGAGCAAATTTTTTTCCATTTATAAAAATATTTATAAAAAAACCCCCAGAACTGAGCCTCTACTTTAGTCAATCCTCTTTGGGAGGAGCAGTGGTGCAAAGTGCCTCGAGTTTTCAATTTTATTCAGAACTCCAACAACAAACATTTCATTAACGAAATGGGAGGGGAAGACATGAATGATGAATGATAAATAAAATTAAAATCATGGTAATTCAATTCGTGTATTTAATGATGCTGAAAGTGTCATAAATTGAATGGGCAAGGAAAAGAAAAAAGAGTTCGAAAACTAGAAATTGTTTTTATTAAAGCCAGAAATAGTGAGGTATTCCTAATCAGTACTAATGAGGAAAAAAGGCGCAGAACAAATCGATTTTCCTCATCTTGATGAATATTAAATGACGTGTAGAACTGGGAAAACATGAGGTAAATCTTTACTCGATAAATGTGAGGTATAGACATACTACTGGAATTTTTCAACTGGAAATTCCCACTCTTTAAACCTCCCGAATTTTCTGATTAATTTTTTTCTCTTGGGTTTTATAAATTCGTTTGAAGATTTTATTTATAAAATTAAAATCTGAGAAACAAATCCATTATATAGATACCATCGAACTATGTGTGGAAGTGGAAGCCACCGTTAAAAAGTGAAAATAAAATAGAAAAAAAACTTACAAGTGAATGAGTGCTTATTTAATTTTTTTCGTTTTCTTTTTATTCTCAGCTCCAACGTTCCAATAGTAAAGTAACTGACCAACGATGATAGCATTTGCAGAGGTAGAGCAAATGTACATGATGATCATATTCGTATCACCAGTCTCCTGAATTGATGTGAAAATCCTTGCCATTGAGCCGAATAAAAGCATGAACATTGTCACCGCCGATAGCTGCCCAGTGCTACCATTTTTGTAATTCGTATGAGCTTGAAACAGCTGTGACAAAAAAAAAATTACATCGAGAATTAAATCTGGGAAATGTATAAGAAAATTCGAATGAATTATTAATTCTCTGGTAAATCTCATTGAATTGGTGTAGTAAAAAAAATTCCATGGCTTACCTTGCTTATCAGAACAATAGGAATCGTAAGTGATTGAGCTCCCCATAAAACGTTTAATGGCGTTAATCCGGTAATCACTGCGATAATGATTGATAAGTACGCAACGAGAAATGCAATTGCTTTTGCTGTGTCCCCTCGATAATGCAGAACGAGTATAGCTATAGCGAGAGTTTGAATCCCCAAGAATACACCATCACCCCAGGCACTGAAATGAAAAAATAAAAAAATTATTGAATGAAATACATGAAAAATTCACATTAACATGTAGTATATGTAATAATTACCTGAATGGAAAACCGCTGACGAAACTATACGATATCATCGCAGTAATGGCAAATAAATCTAATAGAACACTAGCAAAGTTAATTCCCTCACTGCTTTTGTTATTGAAAATCTTGATGACTTGAGGCACTTTCACTGAAAAAACGCCGTTTTGTTAATAAATTTAATATTTTGTTACCCATCAGAATAATTACCCATGAAAGATCCAGCGATTATCCCAAGGCCAAGTCCTTTGCTGAGGGTTGCTTTGAAACATTGAGCTGTAATCATTCATTTATATCACTGTCAAGGCAGAGAAAATTCGTTTTCAATATTTTTGAATTGAGCCAGGACTTCCAGTTTTCGCGGGTCAAAAGTTGTGAGGGGTGGACCTCATGTATTATATGTATTATATTGTTAGGATGATATTCCTTTACCCATAAATAAATTATGTGAATTAAATTTACCGTGTAAGAAATTGAAATTGGTAAAATACTCCTTAAGGCACTCATCCGAAAAGAGGAGCCTGGGCAATGATGCTATGTACTCCATTTTATTTAAACTATTAAAATAATTTGCATTTATTTATTAGTGTTTTTTTTTGTCGTGAGTCGTCACTCGTGGTTAGACTGAACAGCACCAGCACAGGTTTTACACTGTCATCAATTAATTCGATTATTACGATTAACAAATTTGAAATGCACATTCGGGAATGTATGACTTGCAGTATCTCAAAACTGATATTTGTACTTTAACACGTGAACAATCTACTACCTCCATCTTTTCTATTTTTTTTTTCGAGTATGACAGCTGCTGCCATCTGGATATTATTTGGCTGTGTTGGATTAATTTTTTTATCGTTTTGAATTGTGGAGTTAACCCATTTATGGGGGTTGATTCCAAGAAAAAAAATTCTCAAAAATTAAATAGAAGAGAAATAGAAAAGTTGAAGCCTAATTAAATTAGTCTCTTCAATAAAATATCATACGTCTCTTTTGTAATTTACATTTAGCGTACATTATAATTATAAAATAAATAAGTTTCATAAATGATAATTAAGTTTTTTTCTCGATGAGGATAATTGGTAATAAATGACAGGCAATGAAATGGCCTCAATTTTCCTCTTACCTATAATTTTCCTTTACATTAAAAGTATTAATTACCATAATCATTACAAGCACTTCTAGTTTTTCCTGTCTCATTAAATTATTGAATATTATTGGAGATCTCCAGTCCTACATTGACACATTACCGTAATTAATTCACTTAACAAAATGATAGGGTAATGCGCAGCATTAATTAATTAATTCTCCGATTAATAATTCATCCTGTCGATTTTATTCTCCCCTAATTTCAATTCTAATTTCAGGATTTAATTTAAAAAATGTTGAATTACTCTCGTTCCTGATAGTGATCGCTATTCCCATCGAAACCGGAATCAATTGAGGAATCTTAAAATATTCCTGAGTTCATTATTGCGATGATCGCAAGAGCCAGATAAAAATTGTTAATCAAATTCAAATTTGAAGGAAAATCAGATTGCGACGCAAAAACTGGACACACGATACCCGTGGACAGGGCGGGGAAGCACTGATTCCTAGACAACGAGTATAAAAGAGCCATAAGAAATCTCCAACTGCATCAGTTCCACCATTTTCCATCAAGAGTACTCTTGGACTAATTATTGATAAAATGTCGAAATTACTAGTTGTCATAATAGCTGTCGTCCTTGTTGGAGCACTGGCATCTCCTCTCGGACAACAAGTGGAAGAACCAGGTAATGCTTTAATTGATTAATTACCATTAATCCATTAAATACTCTAAATTTACCCATTTTACACTCAACGCATGTATGTACAGTTTATGTATTTTCTTTTTCATGTAATACAATCTCATCACATGTCCATTTTGCATTTTTTTTTATTCCAGCTGAAGGCGTGATGTCCTCCCGAGTGCAGCGATCACCAGATCCAGTTCCAGATCGTCATGGTGGAAAATATCACAATGGCGGAAAATACGGACATGATCATCACGATCATCACGACCACCACAAGCACAAACACCACTAATTATGGAAACATGGCACAGATGAGCTGATATCTTCAAAATGGTTTATCGATCTTAATGCTACTCTTCCGGTTTTTATGTAATTCATATTCGATTTTGATTCATTTACGAGGAACGTGGAAAATTGCCATCCGATAAAAGTATTCAAATAAATATGAAAAGAGATATAAATACAAATGGTTTTATGATTTATTGTTCTTTGCAAATTCTTTCTGGTCGAAACTAGACTCATTGTCAACAAAAATATTAAGAATGCAAAACATGATGCTCGACCAATGTTGATAAGACATTCATTCTCCTCCGATGCACAACACCAAGGAGAAGGAAAAATACTGGATCATGAGCATTCGAAATATTTACATAAGGAATAATAAATTATGAGAGAATCAACTTTAAGGAAAGGTGGAAGGCTTTGCTCTCGTATATAAAGACGAGCATTTTTGTCATTCACCACTGGTATTTAAATCTGTGCATCATGAAGTATCTTAATCTTTCTATTTTGATGTTGCTCGTGGTTCTGATTTCGACTGTCACTGTCGAAGGGTGTTTAACATCCAACCTTCACGTAAGTTGCATATTAATATTTTTACTGACAGACATTTCCATTATATTGTATTATTTTTTTAATGGAATCTGTTCGATTGCAGTGTCGGTCCACTTCTGATTGCTGTCCGGGGTTGCGTTGTTGGAGGCGATGCATCTGTATGTCAAAGTTTTTTTTCAACAGAATCCATTTTAAAATTTCCCTAATCAATTTTACGTTTTTTTGCAGAAATGGAGACAATTCCAGAGAAAGGAGTGGAGACTGAATAACTTTGTTATTCAATTCTATAATTATTCTACATTCATTTTTTAAAAGTAATTGTTGTATTTCAAAATAAAATGGTATTATAAATTAATTTCATATGTTTTTTCGTGAAACCTGTAACAAATCTTTGACGTTTCCTCCTCTTCTCGGTCAACAAAAAATTCAAAGTATCAATTCAAAACGTTAAAACGTTCAATAATTTCTAAAGATCACACATGAAAAAAATTGATAGAAAAACCGAGCGTTCCTTGAAAATTAGAACTCGATAGAACGTCAATAAATTTTCTCACTTAAATTCCTTCATGTGTAATAAAACTTATACAACTGTCTTTTAAATCCAATAACTCACAATTTCATAGAAAAAGAAAAAAATAAAAAATAAATCATTCGTTTCGTTCTCGCAGAGGAGTCAACGGTTTAAGAGGCGATGACACAGGAGTGCCAAAAGGACTCTTAGAAATGGCACCAAAATTCTCTTTTCCCTTCGTAAAAGTCCGCCTCCTCTCGTCCGCCTGTAATCTATCAATAGTCCTGCCTTGTTGCTCCACAACATTTTTCTTCTCCTCCAGTTCCTTCTCTAAACTGCCAATTCTATCCTTAAGATGATTGATCTGCTTCATCCTCTGCTTGTGACTCGACTGGCCAATGACCTCGGTGTACTTATCCACAATTTCCTGGTAATCCTTCCTCAATCTCTCGCATGAATCCTTCAACTCCCTAGATTTCTCCTCCGCGATCGTTCTCATTTTAATTTCCTCCTCCAATAACAACTTCTGCTCCTCAATAGTCCTCTGAAGGCCCTCATACTTCGTCTGATTCGACTTCATCACTTGGACAATCTGCGCCAATTCATCAGCACGATCCTCAGCAGCCTTTACCATGTCCCTGTACTTCTCAACTTGGCTCTCCAAAGAAAATTCAACAGCCTGGGACTCCTTAATCTGTCGCTGCAGCTGTTGTTCAACTTTAGCCTTCGACAACTGTAGCTCTGAAATTTCAATGCAGTGCGCATCATTCTGTTCCTCAAGAGACAACAACGAATTTTGAATAGACGAGATCTTCTCCATCATCTTCTCAATCTCTCTCCTCAACTCTGCATTCTTACTCTCCTTCTTCTTACATTCATCCTGAAGAATCATCAGTTCACTCTGCGACACGTTCTTCAACTCCTCGATTTTCGACTCAAACAGATTCTTCAGGGTCTCGATCTCCAGCAGATTGGACTCCTCCAGCTCGTCGAGCCTCTTGATGTTGACCTTTTCGATCAACGAGAGCAACTGCTCGTTGACGGATTTCGAGCTGTTCCTCATATTGTTGAGAAGGTCCCGTTGCTCGGTTATCAGCTCTTCGGAGGATTTCAATTGCTCCTGGACTCTCTCGAGCTCATCTGTACTCTCAGCGAGCCTCTGGGACAGGGCAGCAACAGTCGCCTGATTCTCAGCCATCACGACGTCGAAGCGACGTCTTCTCGTCACCATCTCAGCTGTCTCCTCGCGAATTTGTTCCTTAAGATTCTTCAGCTCTTTTTTTTTATTAGCAAGTTCACCCTCTGCACGATCCAACTCCTCCTGGAGACTCTGGCTGAAGCTCTCTTGGGTGGCAGTTGCCACTTTCAAGTCCTCTAGGGCTGTCGTCAAGCTGACTATCTTGTCCTCACGCTCCCGGAGCTTCTCCTGGAGTAATTGTTCCTCTGAAGGCTCTTCGGAATTCCTGGAATTATTTTTTGATTTCTCCTCCTCCTGCTGGGAATTCACGATCGATTCCATTTGCTCCTTCAGCTTTCGCATCTCCTCTTGATGATTTCCTTCCAAAATATCCGAGAACTCTCGCTCATTGTCCAATTCATTCTCGATTTCCCGGAAAGATATTTTTAAATCTTCGTATTTCCTTTGGACCTCACTGATCTCGTCGATAAGGGCATGATTTTTAATTAACAACTCCTGATTTTTACGTTCTAATTCATGGAGCTTTTTCATATCCGCCTCCTTCTCAGCCTCGAATCGGTGCTTCTTACACAGGAATTTTGAGGACAAATCCGTGATCTCAGTGTCGTGATTCGACATGAGATCGGAGATCTGTTGATGAGAGTCCGATATGATTTTTTCGTTCTCCGCTTTGAGCTCATCCATTTCACACTGGAGAGATGACATCTGGGACTGGAGATTTAAAATGGCTTGTTGACGAACTTCCAGAGTTTCTTCCAAAGTTGTTTGAATATTCGTTAATAATTCAGATTCCCCTCGAAGACGTTCACATTCCAGTTGGAGGAACTCGTTATTCCTTCCGGCAGTTCTAAGATCCTCGGTTAAACCAGTCGTCGTCATCCTCATTTGTTTCACCTGCAAAATCCATTTTTTTTTTCATAATTAATTAATCAATCAATCAATTGATCCATCGTTAGAATTTTTCAAACGTAAATAAACGATAAAAAAAATAATAGGCAAAAATTACTAGTCACGCGTATTTTTTTTTCAATTTACCATATAAATTATGAAAATAAATAAATAATTAATCATCATCATATGCGCACCTCCTCACGAGCTTCGATCAGCTTCTTCTCGTTTTCCATGATAGTATCTGTCAGTTCAGCCACAATAATTTCCTTATTAATTTCGATTTCATTAAGTTGTTCTATAAATTCACGCTCTCTGGCTTCAATTCCCCTCTCTAATCTCTGAAACTTCTGATATAATTCGTCGAACGCTTTTGATTTCTCCCTTTCCTCGTTCAATTCCGTTTTGAGGGCCTGAAATTTCATCGACAAATCCGTCACCTGAGATTTCAGGGCTTTCTCCGCTTCTTTGCAAGCTGCATGCTCTTTTGGTTTCGCTTCAAGTACTTCTAATAATTGAGTTCTCACGAAAATTAATTCAGCGTTGTATTTTTCATCTTGAGAGTTCAACACGTCTTGCTGAAGATTTGCCTGCAAATGACATAAACAATCGTGAGAAAATAGAGAAAATAATGGACAATCCCACTTAAGGCCCGGATGGACTGTCTGGAAAAGATAATTTACTCCAAAATTGGGACATCTAATTACTTCGTCAATTAATCGTTTTTTCCGATAATTGTTAGCTAGCGGCCTATTTGTTGACAACCGCTAGAACGCTAGCTAACAATTATTGAAAAAAACTATTAATTGCCAAAATAATTAGGAATCCGAATTTCGGAGTAAATGATCTTTTCTAGATAATCCACCCGAGCCTTAAAATAAATAAATAAATAATTATACCATAGATTCTAAATCCTGTTTATGCTGCTCCTCCACGTTCTTCTGCTTTTCCTCAACTTCATGCAGTGATTTCTCCAGTCTTTTCATTTCAATCTTCATATCCTCGATACATTTCTCATGATCTCGTATTGTTTTATCTTTATTCGCACACTCCACCTTGAGATCAGCCAGCTCATCTCTGGTGTCGTATTTAGATTCTTTGGGATTGAGAACGAGCTTCGTTTTTGCTTTTGGACAGCTACTTGGCACTGCCCTGGGTATTCTTTTTTTTAACAATTGCGGCTAGAACATAGTCATATTTTGAAATTACAATTGAATTAAATCCTGCAATTAGTTGGAGGATATAGATAACGAAATAATGAAATGTCGTTGATTCTTACAGTGCGAAATTTCGGGGAAACTAGGGGAGCGACTCCCTTACTCGAAACTGAATTGCAATCAGCACTACTTGCAATACTTCGATTATCATTGAACCGTGCAGATTTTTCAACAGCGAATCCCTTGCCATTCGACTCGAATTTTGGGTCGTAAGACCCAGGAGGTGGTGCCTCGCCTGAAAGGTAAGTTATAATATCAATCGAAATCAAACCCAATCTGTACATAAACATGAAATAAATAATAATATATACATAATTGTGCCGAATAAATTGTTTTGTCAGATTTTTTGTTGGTGTATTCATTTTGTTGGAGCTCCGGTTTATTTTGGGTTTTGCGTTTTTCCTGTTGTACAAATTGTGCAACGTATGACTCGAGAAACGCATTTCACACCCCAGTATGTATGTTGCATTGTAAGACTCATAGGGGAAGAATAAAAAAGGGAAGCGTAAAAAGCAGCTGGAGACCCGAGGGGACGTTGTGCCTCGTGGCTTTTCATATACAATTGCCAGGTGCTCCATTAAATTCTCCGACCCCCTCGTCCCTAACGTTTGCGACCCGCTCCCATGCAATAACGGATTTTCTGTCTGATATTACCCAATTTTTCTCATTACTCCGATTGTTATTCTAATCAGAACTAATCCTACAACGATCTCATGAAAAAAATCAGATTGACTGGCCCATTTCTATTTTTTGGTAAATATCTTCAGAACCGAAGGAGATATCGCTATTTTTGTAATAACCTTTTTTATAGCCCTCAATTTTCTTTCCAAAAAAGGTCCCAAAAAAATTTCAGTGCCTCTCTTATTTTCGGAGATATTTTCTAAAAATCCACTCATTCTATCAGTGTCACATAAATGAAAAAAATTGTTAATTATTTTTATTTTAATTGAAAGAATATACCATAGCCTTTTTTTATTGTTTATGTGATAAAATAAATAAATTGCAGAACTTACTTGTGAGTTCGTTGAATCTCTGAATTTTGGCTTTGGAAAATGACATCTTGTCTGATTTTTGTCCTGATAAAACGAAATCCCGAGAAAAAAGGTACAAACAAATAATCGGAGTAACACAGGATAAATGAAGGAATTAAATAAATAATTAATAGGGAATTCAATGGGATGGGGATAAATAAACTGGAGCCGCGGATCCGCGCGGGTCTTCTCGACGTGACAACCGGTGAAGTAATGCGCGGGTAAAAGCAAAAGGAAAAGCAATACGAGGAGAGGATTCCACAGGATTTCAGCTGTTCAACGGTCTACCTTTTGGTCCCACCCCTGTCTGGCCTTCAGCCGGTTTAAAAAGACCGTTAAAGCGCAGGTTAAAATTAAAGAGCTCGCCCCATTTCGGGGATAATATCGAATTACATAACATTACTCATCATCCCTGCATAACTAAACAATAAATTATTTCTGCAGAATATTCATTCGCTAGAGAGAAATTGCAGAGTATATAAATCCAAAGAAAAAAATTTCTTTGCGACATGTCAATTAATCCACAAGAATTATTTATTAAAAAAAAAAATTAGTAACTGAATAATTACTTATAATAAGAGTGGATAATTATTTTGCATACATTTTCGGATGGATTTATCCAGTGATTATTGATAATTTCATTCGATAATAATTAAATTATTTTGAATAAGGCACTTATTAGTTCAGATAATAATCCTATGATATGAGAAGGATATTCGAGATTGTTAATTGTTATTACTCCAATTTGAATAATAATAATCCATATTACCCGTGGTTCTCTTGAATTTCAATTCGTTACTGAAAATATCGTACCTCATTGGCTAATTCAAAGGGAATCCCCTCTCTTAATGAGACGGGCCAATCCCAAGGCCTTCTGCAGTACTGTTCCATCATTTCTCCAGACCCTTCCATTGCTTTGAAAAATTGATGGAAAACTATTGGAGAGCGATTCTCAACATGCCACGTAACTTGTGACGTTTCAATACAGCTATCAGTGCCTGCGTGTTCACAAGTCTGCCGGTTATATATTATTCCAAATTCTCCAACAATTGTGGAATTTATAAATTAAAAAAATGAGGTGGATCCTGAGCACCTGGATGCTCGTCCTGTTCTTGTGTTTCCTGGGAGTGAGGTCACAATACAGAACCAAAGCTGTGAGTGTTCGACAGATAACCTATACACCATGTTTACATTAATTTGAAAAAACTTTATATAATTAGGAAATAATGCAATCCTGAAGATCGCGAAGGCACATGAGACAATAATACTGAACTCTTTTATTTCATATATTTTATTGGAGATGAAAAAGTAAAAGGTGTTTGACTTTGCTCCAGATCTTCTCCAGTAAAAATTTCAGGAAGTCGTGTTGTGATGTGAATAATTAATTGAACGTTTTTTCAGAGCCAGAATTTGCCACTGGCTGAGCGGGTGCAACAATTGACCGACATGGCAATGAAAAGACCAGTGCTTAAGTTCAATGGTGCTAAGTTTAAGGAATACGTTAAGGCCCCACCACGAAATTATTCTGTCATCGTTATGTTCACTGCACTAGCACCACAGAGACAGTGTCAAATCTGCAGGTAATATCAGCTAGTCCTGTCAATCTTATTAATTGTTGACCAACGAGATCTCAAATATTCTTGAATATTCCCTCGTTTATTTTTCAGTCATGCTAACGAAGAATTTGCGATAGTAGCCAATTCATTCCGGTACTCTCCGTCGTTCTCAAATAAATTATTCTTCGCTGTTGTTGATTTTGATGAAGGATCAGACGTTTTTCAGATGGTAAGACACATTCTCCCTGCGTCAAGTAAATATTTAAGTGAGAAAAATGTATGTTTACTTTGTTAGTTGAGACTCACTACAGCTCCAGTGTACATGCACTTCCCTCCGAAAGGAAAACCCAAAGCAGCGGACACCATGGACATCCAGAGGCTCGGGTTCGGAGCTGAGGCGATGGTCAAATGGATATCTGAGCGAACTGACATTCAAATTCGTGTATTCAGGCCTCCAAATTACTCTGGAACAGTTGCTCTCATCATGCTGTTGGTTCTAGTCGGAGGATTCTTGTATTTGAGGAGGAATAATCTCGACTTTATTTATAATAAAACAATGTGGGGATTTGGAGCGTTGGTAAATATCCTAAAACCCAGTGAACTAAATTGTTCAATGATAAAAATTAATGATTATTCAATTATCAGTTCTTCACGTTGACGATGGTGTCAGGCCAAATGTGGAATCACATCCGAGGACCTCCATTCATCCACAAATCCCCCAATGGAAATGTGGCTTACATCCATGGCTCTTCACAGGGACAATTTGTTCTTGAGACGTACATCGTGATGGTCCTGAGTATCCTTTTTATCCGACGAACATTACCGAGGTCTATCGGATATTTCGTAAGATTCACAAAATGTTCTTTAACAATTTACTAATCAGATGGTGCAGTGGTACTAGGAATGATTTTAATGACGGAAGCAGCATCGCGAAAGGGTGATGTGAAAAAACGTCGAATTTTCGCTGTCATTGGTGCTGGCTTACTCGCAGTATTTTTCAGTCTCCTTCTGTCAATATTTAGGAACAAGGCTCAGGGATATCCGTACAGGTAGACAATTCACAAATAAATGTAAAAAAATTATATCTTTAAATTATTATTTATCAAAATGTGACACAACTAATTTTACTTTCAGTCTTCTCTTCAAGTAATTGGAAATCGCCGTGGCTGTTACAAAAATTCATAATATTCGTACTGTAAGAAAATATCATAGTTGATCCTCAATTATAAATATGGATGGATGATTATTATTATTAGGATCAAAATTTGTGTAAATCGAAATACATGTTCTTTTCCACCGATTTCTTCGATGAGTTAATCAATCCATCCAGTAATAAATTGTTCTCAAAATATGAAAGGAATGCATATTTTACGATTCTCCGGATAATCTTTGAAATAAATTCGATACCATCTGTCAGAATCAACGGCTGTTTGTATCTGAAAATTAAATAGAATATTGAGATGAACAAAAATGTTATTGACAAGCTCGTTAAATCGTAAACAGTGTACCTGATTTATAACCACCCACAAAAAAACATAATGGTACGTTGAACTTCTCCACAGAATAATAGTCAGCATGAAGTACATCGTTATTTCGGTGAATTGTAATGCACCTGTTACGTAATTAAAGAGTCCTCCCCTCGGTATTTTATAGGACTTGGTGACAACCGCACCTTTTCCATCTTTTCTCAAATTCGAAAGAATGTAATTGGAGAGAAGTTGTAGGTATGAGGCAGACAAGAAACCAAAGGCACAGGAATAATCAAGATATGTCAAATTGCTCCAGTGGAAACTGATTTGCGAGGCTGCAAAATAAAATTAAATAGATTAATTATTTTCGTTTATGATTGGGCTTCTGTCACTCACCGTTGATAAATCCTTCGGATTCTCCGAGGATGCACGTCAGAGTGCCGATATAATGAATATATCCAACAATATAATGACTGATATTGATTTTTGCATTACTGAAGACACTCACACGAGTTGTTTCATACAATCTCTTCCAGCACTGAATCGTAATTAGGAATATCGCAGTGAAACATTTTTCTGCTGGAACTGTGAACGAATTCTATGGATATCGAAAGATCAATTCCACCCGATATGAATATTTTAAATTACCTAAGGATTTTCTAGAGGAGCCTAATTGGAAATTCAGGAGCCAGCGAACAATCTTTGGCAATTGTCCACTGAAGAAATATCTATTTACAACAATAATGAGAGAAATTGAAGCTGCTGGGGCTGCAAATAGGTAAAAGTGGGAGAACCATCTAAATGAAAAAGAAATTATTAACAATATCGGTTTCGACGAGAATATTCAACTATTTCAAATATATTTCACCTTTTTGGGAGTTCTAGACGATTTACGAGCATGTGATCTTTTTTCTCTGCGAATTTTCCGTATCTGAAGGTTTTTCGAATTAATAAAGGCATGTAGTCGTCAATTGCGTGCATTAAAAATCCCACAAATCCTACAGATGATGCCATGAATATAAAAGTCAATTTCGTCAGGTTCACATCCATTGTCACTTGCGAATTTTTACTGCCGAATGTTCTAAAGAAATTGTTTTGATTTATTAATGATCAATAAACGTTTATTATTATGAGTGACATCCACGTGAGTTGATCGTAATAGAAGTGGAAATATTAAAATGCAAAGGGAAAATAAGATGATAGGCGAGTCAATCACTGAAAGATTATTCTTACCAGTGAGAATGCTATCTCGATTAGAATTTATTCAAGTAACGGTACCTGTTCGAAGTCAGGAAATGAGAACACGTGAGATTTTGTGAGTCAAATTCGCATAGTCGAGAGAAATTGCAATTATTCTCGACATACTCAAGAAACAACCAGACATTCACACGATACGAATCACATAACCTTCTACAAATGATAATTAATTAGGTAATGAGGCGAAGGAAGTAGAACAATGCAGTGCAATGCTACAACGATGTTTATTATTTCCATAAATGGAAAAATAAAAAAATACAGATCATTCATAAATGTTGAATTATGATAATTGTCATTTTCAGTTGTCTACATAATCTCATAATAAAATGGATGGAGTCATGATTCTCATGGAATGTGCAAATTCATAAATATCTAATAATACAAATTTAACATTAACAATTCAATAAATGCGATCTTACTCTTATTTATTTCTATTGGAATTTGAAATTTGGGAGGAAATAATTCCCTCGCAACACCTTCCAACAATTCAACCAAGGCAATTCTCCTGTTCATTCAGATGCGAGCTTTCGAATCTATCAGAGGCTTTGACCTCAATCCTAAAAATGAGTCGATCATTCCTTGTGAAATTGGGTAGTTCATCGAGAGAAATAAATTCAGTGTAACCAAAGCTCCGTCGATTTCGCTCAGCTCCAGGTCTTTTGAAAGCCTCCAAATTCGGTACCGAGTAAGTCCTCTCCCTGATGGATTTGTCAGAGTCCTCAGGGTGCACCAGGATAAACGATATAACACCAATAAAAGGCCAATCCAGGGCGTCATCATTCTCCGATGGCACCAGGTGCAGAACAATCGAGAGAAAGTCAATATTCTTCTTCGATATGTTCATCCTTCCACAGACTTTATAACCATTTTTGTGGGTGTAGAACTCGTCACTGTACAGCATCATCGACTCTGCCATCATCTCAGTGATTTTTTGGGTGAAACCATCTATTCGCCAAATGTAAATGCCATTGCAATTCCTCAGGGATTCATCTCCAAAATGCGTCAGGGAATTTTGGATTGACATTATCGTCGTCTTCTGGTTGGAAATTATTATCGATTGCTCTCGATTCTGCTGCTCCAGTACGACAATTCTCTCGTAAAGATCTTTCAACAATTGTTCGACATTCGATTGACTTTTTTCAGTTTGCAACTGCTCTCTGTTATTTTTCGGCGGTGGATCCCACAGTTTTGAATCTCGAGCATTTTTATTTACTTCAGACTGACTTATGATCATTTGTTCCATTGTTTTTCCCATCATCATTAAATGAATATTGTGGTTTACCTCCAAATGCCTCTGGAGGTCCTCTCTCTCCTCAAAAGCCTCGGTACATCCAACATATTTGAAATCACAATAAATCTTGTCATCGCGCGAGGCATTTTTTTTAAATTCGCAATCATTGATGTGACTATCCATATCAATGGGGCTCAACTCCACATCACAGCCGAATTGATGATAAGGACACTTTGTTTTGTACTGTGATATTTCCCTTTTCGTGTAACGATCGAGAAACAAATCTCCGTTCTCTGGCTTCAAAGGGGTCGAGTCCACGGGACAACTGTTGCTCTTTTCTCTGTAATTAAAATATATGAGTCATCAGGCGTGAAAAGACAATAGGCCACAGGTATTTCACGATGAGTACTCACTCGAGCCATTTGTGGAGGCACTTTGAACAGAACCTGTGACCACAGGACGTCAGGATTGGATCCCTCATGCAGGAGAGACAGATTGGACATTCAAATCGTGACTCCAGGATTCTAGAAGATATCTCATCAATCTAAAAAATAAAATAACTCTCAATTTTAATCCTTTTGTTTTGTAATTATTGATGATGTCTCATCTCCTTCTCTCGATATGGCAATAATTTTACTTGTCAAAAATTAATTTTTTCAGGAAGGCTTGATACGGAGGAAGTAATCTGCCTCACCTTCTGGTTTTCTGGATTTTCCTCGGGTGCATGCCGCAGTTCTTTATGAATTTCTGACATTTCAGATGATTAAAAAAATTATATTTCTTCCAAATGCACAGTGCCGCTGAGTTCTGGAGGTTTGAGTGACCCCAGCGGCATCGTAGTACTGCACCCCAAGAGAGGGAGGGCGCCACACGCAATTCAAACTTTCCAAAAAAGTATCAGGAGACCATGAAAATCGAGGAGGAAAATCACCAAAATGTGCAAATTCATAATTTTCGGAAAAGTATCAGGAGAACATGAAAGTGAGAACCTCCTCGCGGAGGTATTCACTGAAATTGTAAAAATTCAAAATTTTCAAAAAAGTATCTGAAGAACATTCCGAGGGAGGGGGTATTCATTGAAACTGAAAAATTGAAAATTTTAATAAAACTATCGAGAGAACGTGAGAATCAAGAAGGTATTCACTGAAATATGGAAATTCAAAATTTTCAAAAAGGTATCAGGGGAACATGAAAATCGAGGAGGTATTCACTGAAATTGTAAAAATTCAAAATTTTCAAAAAAGTATCTGAAGAACATTCCGAGGGAGGAGGTATTCATTGAAACTGAAAAATTGAAAATTTTAATAAAACTATCGGGAGAACGTGAGAATCAAGAAGGTATTCACTGAAATATGGAAATTCAAAATTTTCAAAAAGGTATCAGGGGAACATGAAAATCGAGGAGGTATTCACTGAAATTTGAAAATTCGCTATTTTCGAAAAAGTATCTGGGGAACATTCCGGGGGAGGAGGTATTCATTGAAACTGAAAAATTAAAAATTTTCATAAAAGTATCAGGAGAGCATGACAATCGAGCAGGTATTCACTGGAATTGAAAAATTCGAATTTTTCAAAAATTTCATTTGCAAGTTGAAAGAGAAAGATATTCATATACATTTGAAGGGATGAGTAATGCCACTTAGAATGTGATCAATGACGCATGTTGTTTGGTGTTATTTGTGACTGTTTCGTAATTGCTGCATGGTGCTCCGTTTATTCTCTTATATTAAGTCATGAGAATTAATGATTCAATTAATAGAATAAATGACCCTGAAATCCCCGAATAAATCCCATTTACGTGAATGGAGCGGAAAATTAGGATGCAGTTTCAAAGGGTCAATAAAGAGATCAAACGATTCCGTTTAAAATCATTTCAATGGACAGCTGAAACCAAATTGATTCATAAAAGATGTTCATAGAGGAAAATTTCACCTCTAACATAAAAATGTCCTTCGAATTTAATATTTGAAACACCAAGAATTTTTTTCCCAATTCAAAAAAACATCGATCCGGAGGAAAATCGACTCAATCCAAATACTTCCAAGTGTCGGTTTTCCCCCGAATACTTTTCCCATTGAAATAAAATATCCACCATATCCGCTAGAATTCCCTAAAACATGAATAGAATTTTCTGGAAAGAGCTTTAGGATTGTCCATTAAATTTTTTTTCATACGCAACGCTCCAATAGAAACCAACTACCTCCATAACAATTTCATAGCATAAAAAATTTAGCTTATTGTCACTTGCCGACGACAGAGAAGAGGAATAAAAAAGCAGAAGAAAAAAGAAGTTTAAAAATGGGTCAATGACACAGTAAATCGGATCTAATAATTCTGAAATCTCCATTGCCAGTAATTTTCCGACGCATCTAATTTCAATAGTTGTAACCACGTATGGTTGACGTTTGTACAGAGTATCTCTAATGTAATTTCCGATGATTAAGCCGCCCCTCCGACAACGTGAGACAGGCACAAGCAATGGTACACACGACTGGTGAGTAATGAATTTCACATGGTTGACAATACAACAGCAAGGCATGAAGTGGGATTTTGCCTGATGTCCCTCCACTGACTCTCGGAGTCACTAGACATCATTTCAAACTATGTACACCTCCTCCATACCCATCTCATTCCAGAATTCACTTATTTACGTACAACAGTATGAACACGGTAAGTGCATAATGTTACACGAGAACTTGGAAAGTCAGATTTACCAGTACTTTGTGTTGGTACTTGGGGCTAGATGTAGCAGAAGTGTCTGGTGCAGTTGGATACCACGAGCTTTACTCTCTGCTGCGTTAATGCCCACGACTAATTGTGTAATTTCGTAATTTCATGCAGATTACGGTAAATCCCCTTTCCTCCTCTGTACTCAACGCTCTTCTCCAGCATGTATTTCCTCCAGTCTTGGCATTTTTTTTATCTCGCCTAGTCTTTCAAATCTTATCTCATTGCTCCCAAGTGCTGCATTCGCCAACAATTCGGAATTATTACTCTATTACTTGTCGTATACGCGGCAATTATTTATTATTATTTATTCGCGTGTAATCTGGGTGTAACGATAAGTGTCAATAATTTTTTATAGCTATTATTATAGTGGAGATAAATTGAAAACTTATTTTTTTATATTTATGCCATGGCGACTCCTTTGCATTTTCATGGAAATTGTCAATTTCAGCAATCTTTTGTCATCAATCAAATTCAATGTCACTTCACTGAGACGTACTAGCAAATGGCTCATAAAAATTTAATTGCTTCTCCCAGCAGGAGTGTATCCTGCCTTTCTTATCGAAAAGTGTTTCTGTCCATAAACTCTGATGCTATTCTAAGGATTAATTTATTAATGCCATTATTCTCTAATAAATTGTTCTCGACACTAGAGCTCTCAGATTTCCTCGTAAAAATTCCTGAATTGCCGTTGCGCGACAGAATTACTATCTGTTGAAGTGACTCATATTTTATAAATTTCTCTGACTAAAAATTCTTGAATAAATTCAAATTAACCGAATAAATTAAATAGTAAAGATATTCGTCTGTAAAATAGCGGTCATAAACTGAAAAATTGAATAAAAAAAAATGTTTGAACCACAAATTAAATTTCCAGAGTGCTGCGAAGTGAAAACTATTTTAATGCAATTTTATACGATCGAAATTTAATTTTGCGTAATTGAATGACGCTCGAGGCTGGGAAGCTTTATCGACGCCATGCAGATTTTTTCAATGGACCATTCCAACCCCTGAGTTTCTCTCCCGACAGTTTCCACATCTACAAACAGCAGTTCAATCCCACGAAGTATTCAACAAAAGTCGTTCCGAGTGGAAAAAAAAAATATATCCTCATGAATTCAAGATCCCCGCTCCTCTGAATCATCCCCTGTTATGGCCAGAACACCTAAAACTAAAAGCAACTTCTTGAAACAGTCCCTCTGGCAAAACGAAATGATTACATTAAAAATTTACCCCCATTGTTCCACCTGACTCTGCATTATTTTCACTCCCATTCCCCGGAATAGTCCGCTCGCCCTTCATTTCCCGTAGCATTTTCCTTTTCAACCTTTCAAAGCACCACTCCACTGTCATTGTTCGACGTATTCGAACAGAACAGCGAAACATCCCTCATCAGCATCAACAAAAAGTCTCCCAAACATGTGGATTAATTCATCCCCCCTCCCCTCGTTGCGCGTCTGCAATTATTTTTCCAGTTTTTTCCCGAAAAAATAAGCAGAACAAAAGTGAAAAAAAGGGTGACAAAAATAGAGGAAGGTGGGAGTTCTGGGTTGTATCTCGTAGATTCATTCATCCGGTGTGTTAACGTTAATATATAGCATAAAACCGTGTATATTCTCAGAGAGAGGAAATTAATAGCACGTGAATTTCCCCCGACGTACGCGATACAACGAATTATGGATGCCTCCCGTACTCCATATATATTTGACCCCCCACTCTTTATTCCCCCACTTCTGTCGGCACTTGAATTCTGGGAACCCCCCACCAGCCCTTGCCCCCAAGGTTGGACAGTAGTTATGGTTGGAACAGGAACAGGAGTGGGGAATAGGGAATAGGGAGTGGGGAATGGAGAATGGGGTGTGCAGAGATGGTGAGAATGGATAGGAAGAGAACCCGAGAGAGTCTCTTCGTGTACTCAGAAAAGGTAAAGAGTATGTCCTCTAGTTCAATTTCACAAGACCAGAGTAACCAATTCGGGCTTACCCCATACAACCCCTGAATTCCCAGTTGTGTTCACAAATAGGTGTCCTCGTTTCTATTTCGTCTGTAAACTCTTGGAAATGAAGGGATGACGGGGTTCGTTCGTGGAGAGGAAACTAAATAAATATATAATGTCATTATATATTTACCACCCGACTAATATAAATTAAATGAATTCTCTCAATTTCTGATTTACAAGACATCTGATGTTAGGAAAAAATTTCAATTATCCAATGACAATTTATTGACAATTATTATTTATAAATAAATGAAAAATGGAAACTAAATAAATATATAATGTCATTATATATTTACCACCCGACTAATATAAATTAAATGAATTCTCTCAATTTTTTTATTTGTGAGACATCTGATGCTAGGAAAAAAATTCAATTATTCAATGACAATTGATTGACAATTACTATTTATAAATAAATGAAAAATGGATGAAAAATTTTGGTGGAGGGTATATTTACTGTGGGTTGTGAGACTCGATTCGATTTCACTTGGGGGATATTGTACTCGACAGGACACGTGCTTATCGTCTAGTTCGAGTTACCGAGCAAGTGGAGGGATCCACTTCGGTTTATATCAGCGAAACGTAGAAACGGGAATTTCAGGAGTTTACGGGACCGAGGGTCAGAGAAGCGTTTGAGGACCTCTCGGGTGGTTAGAAATGGATGAGTTGAAGTTGTCGGTTCCTGTGGGCTCGTTGAAATCAATTAATCCGATGACTCGAGTCTGCGAGAATCCGATGAGAATATTAATGGAGAGGGGGTGGGGTTTGAGGTTGTTGATGGATAAACAGACAATCACTTTAGATTTTATTATTATATTGTTTTAGAGAGATTTATTGGGCTTGGGGGGACTAGGGCGAAGGTAACAGGACTTGGAATTTTTTTTTTTTCATAAATGATCACTTATTCCCTGTAATGCGGATATTTAGGTCGATCCGCTATTTAATTTCCACGTAGAGTTATCCATTACGTAATTTTTTTTTTTTTTCTAAAAAAGGAAGTAGTTTCCCTCGGGGATTTTTCTACTTTGTTAAGATAATGAAAGCCATGTTAACGTTTCCGTTGGGGGCGGTGGTTACCTCATCGCGGGACAATTCAATTGTTCACGGTGTAGCGAGCGTAATTTTTAACGGATGATTGGGCACAAGTGTTTCCACTCGATCATACCCACGAGGATGAGGTAAAAACGTGTTTACCGGAAAAAAAAAATCGGCTCCAATAAAAGGGATTCTTTTGATGAAAATCCCCAAGCGATGGAGGACTCCATCGATAATTGCTGTAATTTTTTTTTTCACTGTGGAAATTGAAAATAAAAATAAATGATGCTTCGAGTTGCGAGCAGAGGAGATTGAAAATATTGGAAATCAAATTGATTTCAAAATATCACTCGACTATTATCCCCTTTTGTTTATTAATCCGAATTAAAATGTTGTACAGCGAAAAATTTCACGCACACTGATAAGTGATACTGATAGTGATCGGCTTCTGAAGGCAATTTTTTAAATAATCAATTTCTTTTCTCATTTTAATTCTCAATTAAAGACTCGCCTGGGGTGTTATTACCTCCATCACTTGGAATTTGCTTTCTAAATTCCGAAATACTGCCGAAAGATAGTGGTGGGATAAAGAGGAGGAAATAGTGTTGGCCCTATAAACTGGAAGATTCTTGTTACCATTTAACGATTTCCATGGTAATCGAATGACGACATTTACGTTCGTTTCAGAGGTAAAGCCTGGGAGATTAACGATCCATGGTATCACAGCGACGCCATGATGAATCCCTCAGGGTCCATGCAGCCTCCCGTTGAGATTGTCAGCATCAGGTGTACACCGCAGTGTTTAATTAATATTCCACTTTTTCCATCCCTCCCCGGTCATTTTTACTCACCCCTCCATTTTTTTCCCCTTGCATTGGGTTTAATAGTTTTTGGGAGCTAACTAAAAATTTCCGCATCTCGACGCTGTTCAAGCACTGGCAACATCTGTTGCTGTCATTTTTGGTTAATTGTTTAGAGAAATCTTTCAGATGGAAATTTCCATGCCAATGATTATTTAAATAAATCATTTGTGCAGGTACGGGGAATGGATTTTTTTTAGGAGTTGAGATCTTTCGATTTTTCTCTGGGGATGGAAATCATTAGTTTTTAATTCACCGAGGCATACGTCATTATTTAAACAAAGCTTATGAATCACGGAATTTTTTATACTGATATATTAAAGAATTCCAACTGGATGCGGTAAATGCCCCACAATCCCCTCGGCAATCTCCATTATTTAACTCACGTGAGGTTCAGTCAAGATGTGAATAAATAAATAAAGAGGATGCCTCTGCATTTTCCCCGGCGGCGTATTATCTCATAACAATTCGTAATTGCACATCGAGTTACAGAAGCTGGAAATACGCCCACGTAATTCAGCAGTAGCATACCAACGAGTGAAGTCAATGATGTAATTGCTTGTTCCTCTTATTTCGATAAATTGTCGAGAAAAAGACTTTCTTTTTTTTTTCAAAAAAATATATACTCACATTAAATTCTATTTGAAATCTCACACGAATAATTATCACACGATTCGCTCTTAATCGCTAATTTTAGCGAATAAAAATGTTTAATAATCATATTATTTAACAATAATTAATCGAAAAGGGAAGAATCATCCGATTATTAAAAACGGAAATCACTGCTTTCCCCTGGTGGTACCGTAAAAGAGGCGTCAGAGGAAATAAACTGGAGTAACGAGGCAGATTTATGTAGAAAGAGATCCAAGAGCAAATGTGTTTACTTTTATATACCTCTTGGTAGCACCCACCAACTGGGCTCTATCGACCGTCTCCCCTTTTTTTTTTCTTCTCCAACCCTCACCCAATATTTTTTTTTCTCCACTCCCTATCCTGGCAACGTACCGACCTCCTGACGTCGTCAATCACAGCATGTTCAACCTTCTTTTTTTACCTGCCACTTGAGACTCATCGTACCGAATGCGAAATATAAAAGAAGATATTTTCCACGAAGAAAACGAGATCCTCCAAATACACCAGACTGGCGCCAGCTTGGCCAGTCCTATTCCACCCCATCCCCTCGTCATTCGCATCCCTTAACTGAAAATCATCCCCAAGCACATCCTTTCACATTAAAATATAAGTGCCATAACATCAATCATTCCTTCAGTATTTGATAATGAATTGGCAATATATATTCGAATGAGTTGTATTTTCCATTTGCATCAACTCCATCGATCTATTCCCTTCTATTGACTGGAATAGATCATTTTTATTGAATTTTGTTGATTGTAATGGTATACTGGGGATGAAAAAATAAAAGATGATGATAGAATTCTTTCACCAGTCACTGAATACTGAACTACCAATTGATAAGTCAATTCCCCCTTCATCACTTGGTGCCCCTCGAAGATCAACTCTGCAAAACTTTGAATTCACCGTCACTTCCCTATCAATTTACCACCAGCATTGACTCCGGGAGTCAATCTCCTCGATCTCTCAATATAGTAATTTCACCTGAGGTGAACTCATCCTCATCCATCCTGTAAAAGAGACTCCATTCCCAGTTTCTTTTCAATGAAACCTCGGACCTTTCATCCATCCACCATCTCCTCGTTTTTTTTTTTTACCCTCGGTACTGGCATCAGGTTCATATTGCCTTTTGTGCTTCCTTCCACCCCAAACCTGCCCTCTGCCTTTTTTTCCCCCTTTTTTTTTTACTCTTTTTCAACGACATGACAAAGGTTCTAGTGACGTGGTAACGGGCAGCAATGGATCGAGATAAGGAGAAAAAGAATTTGCAATGCTGGGAAAAGTGAGTAAAATCTGGTTTTCAAGGATTTTTATGAATCGTTATGTCTGTCAGTTTTTCCGATGGAAATCGCGTCGTCTTCGTGGAATATATGCCTGAATTCCATTCCTGGATATATCCGTGATTTATTGAAATTGTTTTGAATGTACTTCACTGCGAAACAAGAATTCATTTTTCATTCTATTTGAAATGAGAAAAATATCCCTGAAGGTAAACAATTCAGAAATTACTGGTAATTAAATATTTATGTCCGTTGCATTTTTCCCGGGATACATCAATTTCATTCTTTCAATAAAAAATACGCACAGCAGAAAGAACCTGGGGAATTTGTACTCAAGAATTTCTAGAGAAAATAATCTCAACTGACGGCCTTGGGGCAAAAACTCATTGTGAGCGCTTGTATTATATACTTTTCTTGTTATGTATCCTGTTAAAAATTTAATTAAGTTAATTAATCGCGAAAGAATAATCCTTCCAGGAATATGAATTATAAATGGTGCGGTCAGAATTTGCATGGATTATTTATTAAATTATTTGTTATATAGAATCATCGATTATTATTATTGTATTATTTATCCCGTCTATTTTTTATGTTATATATTTTATTTTTGTATAGATTGGTGGGAGGAAAAGAGGAATTATCCAATTGTTTCCGACTGGAAGTAACTTCTGAAAAAATTCGACTAGAACATTCGACAGAAACATTTCTAGAGCATGTTGAACCATCTGTGACTGTGATGAGGGTGGGGTTAATCGTACAATTAACCTTAATTATTGGACCCTCTTTACTCGACTCCTCCACTACATAATCCACTGGTTGACTTGCTTCTGACTTCATATTTCAATTTCTTCAGGGACGTATAAATTTATTCACCATTTCATTATTTTCACACTTTATTCATGTCTTTCTCACCTTTCCATTAAAATTATAATAAATAATAAAAATTTAACCGGACAATTTACGGTGATCGTATAAATAGTCAACTTAATCTACGGAATGACAGTATTTATAACTGAAATATACTCTTTGGATGCATTAGCAATTAAATTACCAAAATAGATTCTGACATGTTTAATAAATTGTCGGAAAAATTGATGACAACGCAAAGCAGATTAACACACTCACACATTTCGCTATGTAGACCAGTGGCTTCATACATATAATATATTAGACCCATATATCTTGTGTACGGGTTATATACTATGATATTATATCGATAATCTCGAGCATTTTCACATTAATAAACACTCTAGAGGAGAACTTTAAACGTAACATTGGAGGGGTAAAATTTATTGTTACCATCACTCTCACATTATTTTTTTTTCATCAATGAATGAAGGAATAAAGTGCCATCGATTTAAAACCTAACGCATTTAACGACGATTAGCCTCTGCGGGAGAATTCTCTCAAAGTAAATCTCCCCATTTATTATCTGTGATTCTTAGCAATAATTTATCTCTGTTATCTCTACTCTTCACAAGATCCTCACCCAGAAAAACCGTTTCCAATATCCAACGGATTCGCGTCATCAGAACACATCGGAATGAAATATAGGCGAATTTTTTTTATTATAATAAATTCAACAAATACAAGAGTAATTGCCGAATTTGTTGGACAATAGATGGACACTTCCACTTTCAAAGACAAAACTCTGTTAAAATTTTTATCAATTTGACAAATATTTATTTGTAATATTCGAGTCATTACCAGTTATTAGAACTGAACGTGGGTGAAAGGAACCTGAGAATAGCTAGGGCAATTGTTGCCATGAGGATGACGACGGTGTTGCTCCCTTGGATTGAAGCACCAGTGCCTTTGGCGCAAGTCGATTGAACGCTGGAGATCATGATCTTTCGATGTTCCAACAGCTCGTGGATGCTCTTGGTGCCTCTCTCGAGTTTGTGCTGTCGACCCAGAAGAATGGAATAGAATTGATTACCCTGGTAACCCGAGCAGAAGGTCAGGAGCATTTCTTGCATCACCGCTTTCATCACGTGAACCGTTCCCTTGAATTGACTGTAATTTTTATTTGGATCCTCCGTCAGAGTACCTGCACACAAAAATAAAAAGGAATTTCTATATTTTCCCAATCAGTCAATTCCAATCAACAATCAGTAACGAATTCACCAAAATTCCTTTCTCCATTTCTCCTAACATTCCTAAATTAATTTCCAATTTATAATTCATCATTGATATTTTTATCGACAAAATTCCGCTGCAATATAATCACATGATGATACAGTGAAATAACCAGTCATTGACAAGATAATCAATTAACTAAATCCATAATGATGTAACAATTGCTATCAACCGTGAACTCCATGATCCGAATTTGGGGCAATCCCATCAAACAATGATGACAGGTCGACCAGGTGTAGACCAGCTGGTTGACGTATGATTGCCATCGGTTCATTTGGCATCAGGTCATTTCAAAAGGTAGAGACCCAATGATTTTCATTGTCACATATTACCGCAAATGTCTATGGCCTCGCCCGCAGCACGCACCATCCGGATCAATCTGACATTTTGTGTATTATATATATTTATATGTGTTACGTGGTCATGGTACATGGGACAATACTCTCTGGACTGTGTGTGTATATGGATCCATTAAGCCGCACCCGGGTGCCGACAATCTCGTCAACGACAATGTCTGCCAGGGACTTGCTATGATAATCGATCTGGGTTTAGTCCACTGACCGCAATCATCAAACCCTCACAGTCATTCTATTTCAATATATATATTTTTTTACATAAAATATTAATTAAAGAAATTACCCAAAGATTTTCACCGAGAACATTCCCCTTGAAAAATAATTACAATAAATATACAATCCATTAAAAATCATTTAAACCATTTGTATATTGATATAAATGGGGTAAAAAGGTGTTAATTTAATTTGATTGTTAATTAAATCTTGAGATCTGGATTAAATTTACGGATGTAATTATCGATATGTACGGGATTGTTCAAGCTCCATGTCACTAAGATTATTAAGTTTTTGCTGAAAATTAATGCGACCCTTTAGAACCCTCATTAGCAACTTCACATCCTTCATAAAATTCCGTCTCATCTTCAGTCTAATTGTTCCCATCGCACTAATTAGCAAAGTATAACCGCGGGTGAGAGCTACGGTGGTGGATTTTCATTAATGAAAACCAGTCAGCAGCCGAGAATTATTATACTCAAATCCCACAATTGTTCTCTATTTTTGCTTCCGAATAAAACCTTTGTAATCAACCAAATTTAAATTTCATTTTTTTGTGTGATATCGACAGAGTAAAACTGATAATTAAAATAAAAAACTACACTGAGAGAAATATTCAATAAAAATTACGTGTATTTTCCGTAATTCTGGAGCGAAATGTGGTTGTCGGAAATTTTACGGAACTGTCACGTAATTTTTATCTAAAGTCACAGAATTTTTCCGCGGTGTTCCGTAATTTTTATCTGAATTATCGGTGAAAAATAACGATACCGTCAATTAAACTTTTCGAATCAACTTCGTAATCGCTAAGTGAACTGAAAGTTCCGTAATTTTTACTAAATATTTCTCTCCGTGTAGTATTGAATCTTTCCTTTTCAAATGTGTCTTTCAAATGAGTCTCATTGGGCCCTATTTTCACCGTAAAAAAAAATTGATTTCATTCATCCATTTTTATTTTTATTTTTTCACCTCTTCATGTTTCCGCACTCCAATCCATTACATTATTATTATTATTAATACATTACGTTGTTGTATAAAATAATTGATGAAATCTCTCGATACTGAGAATTCACTGGCGCTGGTATTAATGAGATCGATGAAACCACAGAAATTAAACAAAAGGTTACAATTCCGAATGAAAAAAATACAAAATGGATCCGGAAATGGATGAATGGAGCGTTTCCAATAGAAAAAGCAAAAAGACACGAGCGTCAATTAAACTCGTTTGCAACGAGCTAGGAAAATTGAAGTAAAAATAAAAATGAAAACAGAAATATCCCTCTCTCCACTATCACTCTAATTAGTGTGGTGTACTTCGAGAAAGTGAATGCTCACAGATATATGACGTCACTTGCAATTATTCCATTGAAAATCCAGATGGTTCGAATGAAAAATTACCGCAGGTGAAACACACCCCTGGGATATCCGGTCCCGATATGACGGTTGACGTTCATTCGCATAAATGAGAGAAAAAAAGATTTTCCCCTTTTCCCCGTTTTTTTTTTCACCATCTATTTTCCCCATTTTCCACGTCGCGTACAACATGAGGGGATTCACTGATGAGTTGGGCGCTAACGACGCCAGTTATTCAGAGAATAATTCCCTATCTCGGTTATCACTTTTCAAATTGGTATACACGCTGTTAAAAATTTATCTCCGCACTAGATATTTATCAGGAGAATGTCCGTTATATCTCCAGCGAAGATATTTCGAAAAATGGAATACGCGCACGGGAGAGAAAAATTTAATAGGAATTACTGGAAATTCCAGGGATGTTTTATTGTTCAAAAGGTATTCGCAGAGGCAAACAAGCAATTCCGGATTAATCCATTTGATAATATTTTTGCAATTCATTTTTTTAATTTGTAAAAGCATCAGTCATTCGCGTTATCGACTTCGCGTTATCGATTTCGCGTGATTGATAGCGACAAAGAATCAAAAAGACATTTTCAAAAAAATCGCCATCTGGCAATTTTGCACTGGAGCATCTGGCAATTTTGCACTGGAGCATCTGGCAATTTTGCAACTAGATGTTCATTCTGTGTGTAATCGTTACAACAATTGCAGAATCCCCATAATTTCCAGGGGTGTACAATTTTCCGGGGGTTCGGGTAGATCTGCGATAGGAGATTTTGAAAGGACTTTTATTCTCCACAGTTGGGTCAAAATCAAGATCTATATATCTTGAGACATATATAGGGGACATCCTGGCAAAGGGAAGATTTACTAAGATCGTTAGATAACCTCTGGGATTTCAATTATCGGAATGACTTCCAGACCTACTCACTTCAGGTCTACCGACCACTTCTTGGTGCCAATGAGATATACTTGCGCTTCCACTGAATGAACTATCTTGGGACGACTATTCTGGGAAGTCCATGAGCTTTCTATAGGTAACATCGGGTAATTAAAAGTGTATAGAGCTGTGAAAGCCGGCGATCTGCTGACGAAATTGATTTTTCATTTGGAGTACTGCAGAGTGAGATAAATTCACCAGAAATTACGCAATATTTTTTTAATTATGCAGGGAGTGGGATATTCAATAAAAGAATGTTACGCGAGCATTACGGATTTTTTCCGGGTTATTCTACAATTTTTTTTTATGATTTTTCTGGGAATTGAAAAAAAATAATTGATGGTGAATGTATTGGGGTGGATTTTTTTTTCTGAATTATTTTAATCCGGTCGTTTATTTTCAATATTTTATTACATTTTAACAAGACAAGGAATTCAAAGAAAAAACTCACATAAAAGAAAACTTGTACATACTCTTGAAATCCAATATCTCTTCTGAAAAAAATCTACAACTCGCGTATTCTTTCCTCGAATTTTTTCATATTGACGGGACTCTGTATTTCAGCGCATGTACAAGTAGTTCGATAACAAGTGAAAAGAATTTTTAAAGTGGAATGAAAAAAAAAGATAAATTGAGAACAGAGTCAAAGATTTCTATCGAGTTGTTACAGTGGAGGATGTTGAAAAGTTAGTGGCTATAGCTCACGCATTATCAATATTTTCTTTTTTTTTTGTGGAGAACTTTCCGATTTTTTCGAGGTGCTGATTTAATGCTATTTGTACCGAAGTTTTATCCACCAGTTCGTAGTTATAAATATCTCCAACTCTGAGAAAATCTAAATTTCCGGTGCTACTCCTTAAATTTTCATAATCCCTTCTGCAATCGGAAAAAAAATCTACAATCGGTTGTTCCATAATTTATTCTAAATATCGCAATGAATTTTTTTTTGCAATTAACGATACGCTCAACCGATTGGCGATCCTCCGGATTCTTGCTGTTATCACACCCACCAATCGACGCAAACTACCACGAATCTTCGAATATCGGATTGCCACCGAAGCTAAAGGTATGTCTTTGCCATGCACACGTACCAGTGTCGAATCGGATCGTTAATCCAATTTATGTGCCCAACGGAGTTCTAAACTTTACCACGCACGAGAGACATGAATTTAACCCGAATATATGTACCATCGACACATATATCGGTAAATATTCCATGTGGTTTATAACCGTCAGTGCGTCTCGAGTACATGACCTATTTCGATAGATTTTTTATCACTCCATCGAGGTAGTTATAACCCCGGATGGCTCTTCCAACTTCAACTTCCACTCCCCAGTGGAAAAGTAAAGACCAACTTTTCAATAATGCCAACTTTTTCACCCTTTAAACAACCCGGAAAATGCTCTTGAAATTATCTCCATTATCAAATTTTTTTTTTTCTATTTCAATTTGACGGTCTGCTCTGAAATATGGAATATTAATTGAGTTATGGAGAGCGCCATGAGCGCATAAATTAACACTGCCAGTGCGGAATGTTGTTTTCATTATTCAATGAACATTGGAATTCCCTCGATCATTAAATTATTGAATCGTTAAATCCATCACTGATGTCGATTACATAATCGTATAACAATGCCCCTGAATCGATTCACAACGGGAGTTCAATGTTACGAGACTGATAATTATGCGAATTACATAGTCATGATGAGAAATAGATGAATTAAAGAGAATAAGTATGATTCACGCGGAAATTGGTACGGCTGTCTGATTCGCGTTGATTTTTCTACTTGAATCGTTAATTGAACCGCGAATTGTCTTCTGTAGGTTTTAAAGCATTTCAACCGGACGGACTTGAATGTAATGTGGAATTGCCAAGTGCTAGGTGACTCCAGTGTTCTAAAAACAATAGCAAATTGTTTGTTTTGGGACGAGAATGAGAGGTTCACTACCTTTTGGTGGGGTAAAACTCGGGGGAGTTGATACCACCTGACGTGTATTTCCCACGATCGTTCAATTCAATTCGCTCCAACGGAGTTGGAAAACTTTCCACCTCTCAATTCTTCATTCCCCTCACACATAGTTTTCCAGGAACATGCCACCGATCCCTTCCACCTACACCCATTTTGCTACTCATTCAATCCGTCATGATCACCCCGGATCGGTGGACAAACAATCCTGGGTAATTTAATATTTATTATACGAGATGAAAAATTACCGCGGTAAATTTGACATCCTGGGAAAAAAAAACATTGTAATCGGAATATTTTTTCCGAATTTTCAAAAAATTTCTGGAAAACTTTTCAGAAAAGGTTTTTTTTATATTTTAAATTGCGTATTTTTTTGAGAATATTGAAAAATTGAAAAAGTAAGAAAACAGTATAATTAATAAAAAAATTATATTCGCAAAAATTTCTAGAAAATTATTTTAAAAAATGGCCGAAACAAATTTTTGAAAAACTTTTCAAACATTTCCAAAAAATACAATTATTTTGTTTCCCATTTTTTTTTGTTTCAAAAAAAAAAATTTTGAAAAGCTTTCCAGAAATTTTTTGGAAATTTGGATAAAATATTCTGATTACAATTTTTTTTTACTCGGGATGCCAGGAGAAATGGAAAAATCGAGTGAAAACAAATTTTACTTCGTACAGTGGAAATAAAAAATAAAAATAAAAATAAATCGCGATTGATTGATCGATTAAAATCGATATGCTAGTGAATGATATTTACCATTTTGACGGCCACTCGATCTCCAGTATCCGGGATCATTTTTGAGATCGGTAACTTCGAATGTATACTCGATGGTTCCCATTCCCTCAGTCCAGAGAAGTCTCAGAATTTCTCCAGATCGTTCCTCTCGACGTCCCCGTCGAATCCCAACAATTGGACACGTGTCCTGGACTATCGGTGGTATTCTCGTCGGTGATGGAAGTGTCGGTGACGCTCTGTGGTGGAGAATTTCTATCACGTACCATTTTCCGATTATCTGTAAAGTTAAAATTAATGCAAATTGAGTGACCCTCGTCAGAAAAGTCCGAAACTTTGGCCCATTGTTGGGATTATGGATGCACTTTTGTTCCCATTGTGTACCGAAAGGTGCATTACTCCAGTTTCATTCACGGTTTTTGTTTATCGCTGAGTCCAGCAGATTCATATGCTGATGATGATGAGAAAAGTGAAAAGATTCTTGAATTAATTTTTTTCCGGGAAAGTGTTGTTGTTTTCACTGGTGAAACTATTTATCAAAACCAAGGATCGGTACAAAAAATTTGATATTTTACCGGATCGCAGGATGACGTCAATTTCATCGTGAAAAATTCATTTAAATACTGTCTCTAGGTGGCAAATTGGTGATGTCCTTGAGAGATAATATAATCAAGTTTCATCAAAATCGGAAGCGGATATTTGTCGAGAGGTTCTTGTCAGTTCAGATGAAAGGGGATTATTGAAATAAGTGGAGAGCCAACAGTGAATTTCGGATAAAATTTCTGTACAGCACGATTCAATCCCATTCTAAAAGGGATGGAAACATAATTTTGCACATCCAATGATCGTGAGAATTTCGAACTGAGTCACGTACAGCAAGATCCAATTCTCAGCATTGAGGACAAGTGGAAATTGCGTTTTCCGGGTATTCGTGAGATATTAGCGGCACGTAAAATGTATGAATTGAATATTTGTAATAAAAAAAACAAACAGCGACAGTTGTTTAAAAAAAAAATTACCGATTTCAACGGATTTTCAAAATACCGAATGGCTCGCAATCAATAAATTCATCTCCAGGGAGCGAAAACTAATTCTATAATCTAATCTAATTAGCATCTACCCGTAGAATTAATTAACAAGATCCGTCAATCGTGAATTCCCATAAGTTTGCCAATTTGCATTAATTCATAAGGGTATGTCTAAATTATTCACGAAGTTGGCATTGGAAACAGAAATGTTGAAGTGTAAAAATTACCCAACGAGAATAATACCGGTGGCAATCTACATTACAAATGTCAATTTATGGAACTATCCCCTTGAATTATTCATTCGACATTCAATAATCGAGTATGTTAATTATTGAAACGGAAAATCGGATAATAAATGTATTAATAAAATACGTAAATTGTCGTTCATGCAGCAGTTGATAATTGAGAATAGTTGGGTGGGGCGCTGTTGTAACCGGAATGTGGCATTAAATTAATGCTATCGTGTATATATGTACTGCGGTGGTAGATGCAGTACCGAGGAATTACAGTGGTACATTGCAATAATTATTCCAACTTGACGTTACGTCCCGCCGATACGCCACTTCGTTAGCCCGATTGGGGGTGGCAATGTGTACTGTACCGAGACGGGAAATTATAGTTCCACAATATAACACCATGTTTTTTTTTTCATTCTTTATCCATGGGAAAATCCTATTAATTTTCTCATTCTATCGCCCGGAGGGAGCACTAATTTTCCACTCGTTGCTCTCCTTCGTTTCTATTTAATAATTGCTACGAAATATGAGCGACAAATTACGATTTGTCGCGTTCGATGTTATGTTAGTATGCATTCTTTTTTTTTTTTTTTAATTTCACTTCAATTAAAAAATGTTCATTAAAAACTTCAACACTAGTTTTCGTGTTTATTTTGAAAATTAAAAAAAATGAAATTCGATTGCAGATAACAATGATTTATTAATTTAATAATTGCTACGAAATATGAGCGACAAATTACGATTTGTCGCGTTCGATGTTATGCTAGTATGCATTCTTTTTTTTTTAATTTCACTTCAATTAAAAAATGTTCATTAAAAACTTCAACACTAGTTTTCGTGTTTATTTTGAAAATGAAAAAAAAAATGAAATTCGATTGCAGATAACAATGATTTATTAATTTAATATGAGCGACAAATTACGATTTGTCGCGTTCGATGTTATGCTAGTATGCATTCTTTTTTTTTTTCAATTTCACTTCAATTAAAAAATGTTCATTAAAAACTGCAACACTTGTTTTCGTGTTTATTTTGAAAATGAAAAAAAATGAAATTCGATTGCAGATAACAATGATTTATTAATTTAATATGAGCGACAAATTACGATTTGTCGCGTTCGATGTTATGCTAGCATGCATTCTTTTTTTTTTTCAATTTCACTTCAATTAAAAAATGTTCATTAAAAACTTCAACACTAATTTTCGTGTTTATTTTGAAAATGAGAAAAAAAATGAAATTCGATTACAGATAACAATGATTTATTAATTTCAATGATTTATTTGCGGATTTGATATCGAGTGGTTGAGTGATTTCCCAAGTGACTAGCCTCTCGACAAAAAAAACCTCGAGTACAGATGACAGGGAATGCGGAATTATTGGCAAAAGATCAATATTGATCAGTATTTTCATCATGGCTGAAGAAAGCCGGGAGTACGTTCCAATAAGAAGCTGTTTACCATCGAGGAAACATTCCCCATTACCCCGGCAATTTGTACCGATCGCCTCCAATAACAATTTCCCATGAAATTTATTCATAATAATTCGCTCGCAATATCCCAAACAAATTGGCTCATTCCTGTGCTCTGAGGCGCTGGGAATTTCACTGTACCCTTTTTACAAATTTCTTCTTCCACCTCATCCGTCGTTCTAATTGCCTCGACACAAGGCAATCACGAACACCTCGATTTTTTACCGGAAGTGCGACAAGGAAATAACGACATTGCAATCGATAGTCTCACCCTCCTAATTCCGTTCATCTCGAATTCCTCTTGAGAGAGCAAAGTGCAGTCGACACATCTAGATATTGGTAAGGAAGCCCGACGAAACCGATGCTAGACGATTATCTCCTGGTGCGTCTGTTAAATGTCCGTTAATCGATTTTCTACGTTAACTAAATCGCACGAGTGCGGGAAAATGAGACAAAACGAATAAAAGAACGCAATTGTGTATTCTGGAGGCACCGCTGTACCATAAATTCTTGTTTATTAAGCGAAATCCAAGTGTTGTTTACCTAGGGCCTGGTTATTTCTAGACTGCTATGTATTCCAAGTGTGTCCAGAAGGAATTGAGGGTAAAGTACTTCTGGAGCAGTTCCGTTTATGCGAGTAAGCACTGAATATTCTGAAAAGGGCCTGCATTCCTGATAGCTGCGCAAATTTTCTCTACGTCTTTGTCCATTCCAAATGTCTTTAGCACCATGGGTAAAAAAAATTGTAATCGGAATATATTATTTTTATTCTTTCCAAATTTTCAAAAAATTTCTGGAAAACTTTTCAGAAATTTGTTTTTTGAAACAAAAAAAATTCGGAAAATAAAACATTTTTTTTTCTTTTTCGAAAATTTAAATAGAAAACCTTTTTTTATAATTTAGATGGCGTATTTTTTGAAAATATTGAGAAATTAAAAAAGTAAGATAACAGTATAATTCAAAAAAAATTATATTCGCAAAAATTTCTAGAAAATGATAAAAAAAAATTTCCAAAACAAATAAAAAAAAAATGTTCAAAAGATTTCAGAAAAATACAATGGTTTTGTTTTTCGATTGTTTTTTGTTTCAAAAACAAAATTTTCTGAAAAGTTTTCCAGATTTTTTGAAAATTTGGAAAAAATATTCTGATTTCAATTTTTTTTCACCCGGGACATTCCACCGATAATTTCACAAATTACCCCAAAAAAAAATTAATTCATGACAATTTCAATCATTTAATAATAATTTAATAATAATTTAAGACGAGTACGAGATGAATTCCATTGAATTTATAATGCAGGATCAATTTTTATTTCCACTTCAACCGGAAATTCTATACGAATATTTTGAAAACGAATATTTTGTCTTAATGCTGCTTTCGTGCTACCAATTTTCGGAATTATCATACCCTTTGGGATCTACTTCATTACGTGTAGTGCTCTAAACAGGAGGTGGAGATTATTCAAGAGATGCAACACTTTTTCCACTTCAACCTCAACAGAAGATACCGTAGTCTAGGGTAAGACTTTGGAAGGTTCATCAGAATACCAAAGAGCGCTCAATTTTCGTAATTGAACGCTGCAGGTATCCTTTCGCTTCGATGAAGTACTGGCTCTTGGAATTTATTATCCTCCTGGGATATCATTCAAAGGCTTTGTTTCAGGCCCTCAACTCCATGGGAAATGGCCGTCCGAGTGATGGGCATTATTGGAAAAGCTTGCGGTGGGAAATTGCTTTCGCTTCACTCGTCTGAATAATCAAATTGGGGTGGAAAAGTTTTTTTTTTCGGGAATGGTGAGTATTTCTGAGATACCATGGCCCATCGCGTTCTGTGGTTTTCACAAAATTTTAATGAGTTCAGTGGAATGTTGGCAGCCATTCAATCGATTCCAAACTCTCGTGTCACAATTTCGGGATCATTTTTCGTTTTTTTTTTACCGATGTAAAAATTTTTTCCAAAAAGAATGGAAAAAATTTCCAAAAAATTTAATTACGAATTTAAAAGGTTTTCGGTTGAGTTCATAATTTTTCGAATGAATTTTTTTGGTGTATAGTGAATATTACATTAATACCATTCGATTGGGGAGAATGTCGATTTATATCGGATATCTCGATTATTGTAAACACAATTCTCTCCATATCTGACAAAAGCAAGCTCGTGGACAGAATAGACGCGATATCCGTGGAATGCGAGGGGATCGGGTTTTCAATGTCCCTCAGTGTTTTCCATAATTTCCCGGCGTTCATTTTATTCTTCATACGGGTGTGAATATATATGGCAGAGGGAAAACAGGTCTGTTATTTCGGGATAGTACAAAATTTCCGCGTGCCGCACTGTCATTCCCAGGCATGTTATTTCCGTTTCAACACGTGCCAATTCAATATTCCTGGTCCGTTGATATTTGTCATTCATCATGCTTTTTTCCAGTCTTTTCATTAAACTTTTCACTATCAGAGGATTCAATTCTACCGAACGGTATATTTTCGGTCGGCTTCGATCTTATTTTGAATCATTCTCTCTAATTCGATTATTTATCGAATCGAAACAAGA